TGATTGTTGATAGAATGAAATCGAGCGTCGTGAATCAATTACAAAATACCTGATTCTGAAAATAGTAGCAATCTTAGCGTCCACACCTTCGAGGTGATCTTTATGAATTTAAGACCCAGATAACTATCATAACTGTCAATTTTGTTTAGTTGGAAACAAGGCATGACCTTGGCTTGCCTTTAAATGATCAAATGAAATGGATGGCATGTCATTTTCTTTCGTCCTCAAACAAACACCGATCGTTCACGTAATTTCCCCCATCTAATAGACTGATAGGGGTGCAATCCCCCACGTGTCGTTTGTATCTGATACAAATAACATTTCATAATTGTTATCACAATTAATATAGTGGCTCGAATTTAACGTACAATAATAACTTAACAACATCTGTCATACTGCTAAAGTAAACAGAAAATATCCATAACTTGTAAGCCACTCTCCTAATGGGTCTCTAAACAGTTTTGACTCAGTTCTATCTGATGCGTATTTTTATTTGCGGGGAGAAAATATAATTGATAGAGTGTGTTTAATCTGAAATAAAATCTAGTATAAAAATCGTCGTATCGCCTACGGTTTATAGTGATGTAACCAATCCAATTGTTTCTACTTAAACTCTCATTTTAATACAAATTAAATTCTTGAATTTAAACCCATTTCGATTTAATATTGTGTGATGGAGCCCATTTCGATTTAATATTGTGTGATGGAGCCTATTTCGAAAACAAACATGTGATACAAAATTGAAAACTATTTTATGAACATTAAACAATCCAATAGAACAACTAACAGGGAAAGTGAAAGTACACTTTATATATGTTATACGATTTCGAATATTTAGCTATCAATATAGACTGGCCACCAGCCCCGAAGTTTTTATGAAGAATTTCTCGACTGCATTTTACTACTAGCGTATCTCCCCCTAGTTTAGAACTTAGAATCAGACATCCAAGTGATCAAAATTATTAGAGTTTGTTTTTTCTTAATTATTTAATATTCTAGAGACGGTGGCCAGTCTACTATCAATATTGCTGTGACTCGTAATGTAAGCTTTGTCCCTGAGCAGATACTTGGTCGTTGATCGAGCGACATAAACGTACATCGCTACTGTTATCCACGCGCTGTTTAATACCCCGCCATTCTCTAAACAACAGTGACATTGATTTCGCTAGCGAAGAAGTGATATAAACTTATCGAAGAGATACTGACATCAGACGCGCTAAAACTAGCGAGTTCTTAATCAAAACCAACACGAGACTCATCCTTGCACCAATCAATGAGGACATTGGTCTAAGGTGCCGCTCCGCTCCGTAAAATATGTTCCTACTTTTACAAATCGAATACGTCTAGAAAAAGCTCACAGTCCTTCAGGAGACACGACACTATCGAGGACATATTTTTTCAAAAGAGGAATCCGGCTGTGTTTTTCTGTTTGTTTTATATACAGTCGACGCAACAATTGTTTCCGTAGGGAAATTTAAAGTGTTTTATGTCATTGACATTTTTTATTTACATACAACAGATAAAAAGAATAAAGGAAACATTAGAAAAACACTAGCTTTTGTCCTATCGTTTCGGTTCTTTTTTATGAATATTACCACGAGTTTCGAATTCTCAGAGTGCAGTATTTTAAAACTGATCAAAAGCTATTTTATTAACAATAACAAAGAATATATCTCCAGATCTCTAAAGTGTGTTCCACAAGAATAAACACTACATTGTCGAGAGAAACCCGTTCATGGGGCTTTCGTACACAATCGAACCTCTGTTTCCTTGTTCTCATAGAGATTACACAAACCAAGGGATGAGTCTGGAGCGCGCTCGATCGAGACATTTTAGTGGCTGATTTCGCCCCTTGTCACAAAAGGGTAATACATTTCAGATTGATACCAGCACTCAATAGGAGCCCGTCGGTGGTCAGAGTCAACACATCTCAATCTGTGTAAATATTGAATCAGAGGTAACGTTATTGTACGGCCTACAATAGCATACAGCCGTTATAATATTATAATCGTATTATAACAAACAGATTATTGAATATTTCCATCAAATACCGACATTATGTTAATAGAATTATAAAATGTTTTCTCGCCTACTTATAACAGCAGATTATAGAGTTAGTTATTATACAAGGCACTACAAATAGTTCAAGATAAACCAACTGAATAGCGACGTTAACTCCAGTACGCTGTATACAGGCATTCAAATAAATCAGGCAATATGATGTTTAAATTGTAAATTATATCATGAATAATCCTTTTATGTATTTTTTCCTAATTTAGCCTTTTTGAAAATACTGCTAAAAATGTATACAATAATTATTTACATAGCCCACATTTGGAATCCCTTTTCTCATTTGTCTACCCATGACTTTGTTGTTCACTCAGACACACAGTGTGTAACGAAAGGTTGCATATTAACAGCAAATATTATACATCAAGACGTTTCCTTATTTGACCAAGGTACGAGACGTTATTTGGCTATGTTGGGAGTCGTCTTTTCTGACCATGGTGTCAGATGTTTACATGTTGATAACATTTAGGTGTATGTGACACCCAAATCTGATTAATTGGATTATGTCACAGTTATTTATAACACATGACGTAATTTAATGTAACATCATGATTTAATTGACAGCGTCCATTTTCCTAGTTAACCTTGTTAATAAATATTCATATTTACCTCAGATGAAGTCAATACGCTACTTAATAAGTGCTACAAGTCAATATTATTTATAACCATATTTTCCCCAACATCATTTTCGCAGTTAACGTTGTTAATAAATATTCATATTTACCTCAGATGAAGTCAATACCCTACTTACTAAGCGCTACAAGTCAATATTATATAAAACCATATTTTCCCAACATCATTTTCCCGGTTAACATATTGTTAATAAATATTCTTATTTGCCTCATATGAAGTCAATAATAGTGTAATATCATTCATTTTTCCCAAAATACATTTTCGCGTTTATCACTGTTAATAAATATTCTTACACTCCGTATTCAACACAAATGAAGTCAATATATGTTGTATCATTTTTTTTCGCTGTATGTTTGTTTTCCGGTTAATTTTGTTTATAAACATTCTTATTCATCTCAAAAGAAGTCAATACTCGTGCATAGCTTGTCGTATTTTATCACTTTAACGGAATAGATTTAAGTTTATCTTTTTCTCCGGTTAGCAGTTTTAAGTATCCATATTCACCTCGAAAGAAGACAATACTTGTGTGTATACTCAACAGCGACTTAATAAGTATAATAAGACAATTAACACCATGTTATGCAATATTTAGATTATTTTTACACAAAAAAATCTCTAAGAGAAATATGTTAACTTATTTCTTTACGTTACATGACTAATGTAATGTTTCGACTACAACGTCTGAGAACTCGGTATGTTTTCAATATATCACTTATGTCGGTATAGAAAATGTAAGTATAATATTTTCAGTGTGTCAAAGACATATTACTAGACGGACGAAATTCCTCCCAGCGGTGATACATTTCTGGTAGGGACTGCCAGCACGCGGGTACGTAGTGCAGATATGCCGTAATTATATAACGTTGCTTAAAACGACGTGTATTCAATATACCAAAAATATTCATTTTCTTTTTGATATTTTTTTTGTCTGCGTAAAATTACACATTTGCAAGTACTTAATAATATATAAATTTAATTATTATCACGAAATAAAAAAAAATCTCAAAATCCTTACAGACATTTTTTAACTTGATGTTTAAAAATAACCATTCGTTTAGAAATATATGACAATATTTTGGATTTTTTACCAAAAAAAGTTAATTTAAATATCGAGATATTTAGGAAATTACAAAAGAATTGAATGTTCAATTTCAAGTTAGGTATACACACGTGCTTAGCATACTCCTATTGGGAGGGGGAGGGGAGAATGAGATGGGGGCGTGGTCTGAATGTCGTAAAGTACGAAGGTCTGGAATCACTTCTGGTAATCCAGGTTGATCGCTTTCGTAAACGCCTATACAGAGGAGTTTGTTGTATTGCTCTACTGCTATTTGTAAATATGTTTATACCAGGCGTCTGGCTAAAGATATTTATTACAAGAAATCTGAGACAGCAAATATCTGAACCCTCAAACATTTCAAGCAACCAAAACCTCACCTCTACTCCCACCACCGACCTCCCTACTCTTTAATTATAAACCTATCTCCATCTTTCAGTTACATGTAATAGATATTCCGCTTTATCAAATATTATTGGAAATCTCACCATAAATGTTCATATTCATCAATTCTGAGAACTTTCGTTTCGTTACTCTGAAGTGTACTTTTTAAGTACATTTTGCTGCCCCGGGAATCGTTTCCATTTCCAACGTTTCTATATGACAGGTGCTAGATGTTATCTGGTAACTTCTTTATTTTGTTTGTAGTGTTCATACGGTTACCACCGTGCTGACATTTCAATGGTTACACAATACCCACGTACGTGAAGCAGGATTTCCATTTCCAAAACGTCAACACATTGTTACATATTGGAAATTAGCCTTCACCGTATTTTTGTCTGTAAAATATCAACACAATTCTGTACATAAAAGGAGAATACAGATAACATTCTGATTATCCCTTTCTGTTTGAATCCCGACTGTATTTTAATATCTTACATGTGAACGCAGGTGTCCTATACAGACACAAGGTGAACTATTTAGCTTAGTACAAACTGTTGTCATTTTAACGAAATAGAAATTCCGGATGCAAAACATCCATGTAAATGTCACCGCCGGACAGCTTTAAAACTTTACGGTATTTCAATAATGTAGTAAAATAACATTTTGTCGACTACTAGCTTGGCACTCGATCACAGTATCCGTGGCACATAACATTTTATACTTTTATAATTCAATTTCCGCACGGGGTTATTAGCGTACGTGATCGAGCGTTTCCGAAGTAACGTTGTTACTAAAAGAGAAATGTATGTGATGGTGTAACTGTATGGCTAATACACTGTGTGTTACTGACACTTACCTGTGGCTATCGTAATCAGCGAGCTTGTCAGTATAATCCATTCACTAATATCCATACTGGCCAGTTAATCTAATCGTAGAGAGTATAGCCCTCTTGAGTAATGATAATTTCCTAAATCCACGATTACATCCGAATAATATCATACACAATTTACTCTAAATTCTGAACAAGTTTTCTTTCAGTTTAAGTACATCCATGGAGCGAGTTGGCGACTCTGACAGGCTGTACACTTTGTACCTAGTATTAAAGCTGATCTCAATCACAGGTTCGTACAAAGGACCCGTCAGGCTCGAGTTCACACGGCCACAGTCCTACACAGGCAGAATATTCAAAATAGCGCTGTGACTAAAGAATAGACTATTTCAACAACAAAAACTTGAGTATCTTTTTTCCATAGCATATTGTTCGTGGGAAGAATTTGTCGTACTTTACGCGACAATGCAAGTGACCGTCTCGTGCAGACCACGGGGAAAGCCCGTGCTAATAGTGGGCTAGCCGCCCCCACCCCCGGGCACTACCATAGAACCGACACAAATTAACGCTGAGGTCTCTGTCACTGATTAGTCCAGATATAATGAAGTAAAGGGGTTTCACCATCATGGAAAGACAAACTGATGGAGTTTTTCGGTCCTACGATGCTCCTATATGCACGAGTGTGTGTTATTGTATGGTTGTATAGCGTTGAAGCTATTATGTCCCAGCTCCTGTGTAATTGTACTAAACACACGCATATAACCACACAGCTTTCGACGTTTCAAAGGTGTTACTACTCAAAAACAGCTAAAGCATGTAATTACCACACAAACCAATGTCAGCTAAGTAACAGTGCACACAATTTATATCCGTTTCCCCGAGTAACATTCACTATACTGAACTCTAGCGGCAGTGTGTGTGTGTGCAAAAAACCTCCTCAGTGGCTGTGTATGTTCAGGCAAGACAACTCGGCTGGCAAATTGTACCAGCGCAGTATTACTGATGTAAGGCGGATGAAACACACCAGTCGCGTTGACACTCGGCTCTCCTCGGCACACAACGCTACGTGCGATCGTTGCACGATGTTTCTCGTCTATCAATAATATTCTGGTGCTAGTGTATGTTCGGTCGACAATGACGGGATTATGAATCACGCTTGGCCACAGAGTAAGACAGGGCTACACCAGCCCAATCAGCGAGCCTCTCAGACAACCACAGTACTGACTGGCATGCTCTTTGACTGCAGAGGCTGGGAGTCGTGCTGTGGCGCGCGAAGGAGGACGGACTCACGCATGCTCTATGCATGTGTGTATGTCATACCTACATCACCTGTGAATGTCTCCAGAAACCAGGTGTACGGGCGATTTGTGGGCACAGGGAGATATAATTTGGCGGCGAGGGCATGATGAGTGTGAATGGCGAGGGCATAATTTACGTTTTTGTTGGGGGTAAGGTGACTGTCAGGTTTGAGGACCAATATTAAGTATATGTGTGGTGGTTAGTGCTTGTGACGTGTGTAGTGAAAGTTACGTACGTGTGCGGTGGTTAGGACAAAAAAGTAGTCAAAGGTGTGTGATAAAAGTTAAAGGTGTGTGATACAAGTTAAAGGTGTGTGGTAAAAGTTAAAGGTGTGTGATAAAAGTTAAAGGTGTGTGGTGAAATAAAGATTAAAGGTGTGTGGTGAAAGTTTGTGTGTCGGGAAATATAAAGCTAGGCGTTTCTTTAAAGGTGCGAGGGCCCCTCCCCGCCTACCTCTTGCCTACTTTCATCACCATGTCCTTTGCTGTACCATTCCTTTTACGTTGACTTGCCTTTGTCCCACCTGACGCGACCGTTTATCCGTTATTGTTCCGTGTCACTAGAATATTGATGGGCCGTTAAGATATTATCAATCATATTGGAATCCCTGGCAGATCGCTTTAAAATTGGTAACATTTTCAATAGTAAATACGAAACTGTACCCATGTGTGTATTGTAGAAACCTTCACGTGGTATGTGGTACGCATCTGCCCTTCAAATGACTTCAGATCTTCCAAATTGATTTGACACCTATATGTATAATACACTATCAGCGAATGAAGATAGCGAGCCTGAAATGATGGATAGCTCGTACAGCGCTGATGACGTGTAGAGCTATTTAAAATACTAATGAGGAAGGCACAGTGTTTGATCCAATCGACTCCAGTGTCATAATTAATTTATGCATCATCTATAATCTTATCTTGTCTGTTGTCAAACTCATCGTACTTCACATGGTAGTGTTATGGACGGACTGAGGAGAAGGAGAAAGACGAGAGCAGGGAGTAGGTGATTGACCCTCCAATCTACAATACGGGGCAGGGGACGGGGAGAGGAGACTGAGTAATAAGGGAAGGAAAGGGAAGCGAGACGCACCCCCGGGCCGTACCAGACTTTCCATGTTTAATCGTACTTCCGAGTTGATAATTACATTGAAAGACATTTATTATATAGATTCCAACATCTCGCGTGCTCACTCGAAAAAAGGCAGCCGCGTTTCTGAACTATAGGCATATGTACAATATCAGAGTTTAGAAGAATGAAGGACAACTGAGGCAATATCCCTAGAAAATCTCAGATTTTAGAAATAAATTATTCTGGAATACGTCATTTATAAAATTGGAACAGTGGAGGTTTGTGCACACTGTGGAACTGTGCTTCCCACACATCTTACAATAAACTGGATCTGTATAGCGATTATACATGGTTACGTAATTTTGTCCGTAGCATGCATTTAAAATGACAAAAACAAAAATTCCAAAAACACCCCTACAGCGATACAAACACAAGACGTATCTGTTATAGGTGTCAGTCAAAATAGTGTTTACCCGTAGTACCGATAAACTACAACACAAAACGTGTACTCTTCTGTCTATTGTGGTTATTCCTGGTATAACCGACTTAAACTTTAAAGATCTGCGCCAACACGACATTGTCTATTCTGTTACAGTACGTGGTCACAATGTGAACACAAACAAAGGGTTTTGGTTAGCTGCTAGACAGTATTCGTAAGAAATGACCCGTGAAATAAGTCAATCGCCTGATGAAAAGACCTCGTTAGTAATCTCCGGCAGGTACCCGTACCCTGTCACTGTTACTATATAGCAATCTCCGGCAGTTACCGTACCCTGTCACTGTTACTATATAGCAATCTCTGGCAGTTACCGTACCTTGTCACTGTTACTATATAGCAATCTCTGGCAGTTACCGTACCCTGTCACTGTTACTATATAGTAATCTCCGGCAGTTACCGTACCATGTCACTGTTACTATCTAGTAATCTCCGGCAGTTACCGTACCCTGTCACTGTTACTATATATTTATCTCCGGCAGTTCCCGTACCCTGTCACTGTTACTATATATTTATCTCCGGCAGTTCCCGTACCCTGTCACTGTTACTATATAGCAATCTCCGGCAGTTACCGTACCTTGTCACTGTTACTATATAGCAATCTCCGGCAGTTACTATACCCTGTCACTGTTACTATATAGCACTCTCCGGCAGTTACTGTACCTTGTCACTGTTACTATATAGTAATCTCCGTCAGGTACCCGTACCCTGTCACTGTTACTATATAGGAATCTCCGGCAGTTACCGTACCCTGCCACTGTTACTATATATTTATCTCCGGCAGTTACCGTACCCTGCCACTGTTACTATATATTTATCTCCGGCAGTTACCGTACCCTGTCACTGTGACTATATAGCAATCTCTGGCAGTTACCGTACCCTGTCACTGTGACTATATAGCAATCTCTGGCAGTTACCGTACCCTGTCACTGTGACTATATAGCACTCTCCGGCAGTTCCTGTACCCTGTCACTGTTACTATATAGCAATCTCCGGCAGTTACTGTACCCTGTCACTGTTACTATATAGTAATCTCCGGCAGGTACCCATACCCTGTCACTGTTACTATATAGTAATCTCCGACAGGTACCCGTACCCTGTCACTGTTACTATATAGCAATCTCCGGCAGTTACCGTACCCTGTCACTGTTACTATATAGTAATCTCCGGCAGTTACCGTACCCTGTCACTGTTACTATATAGTAATCTCCGACAGGTACCCGTACCCTGTCACTGTTACTATATAGCAATCTCCGGCAGTTACCGTACCCTGTCACTGTTACTATATAGTAATCTCCGGCAGTTACCGTACCCTGTCACTGTTACTATATAGTAATCTCCGACAGGTACCCGTACCCTGTCACTGTTACTATATAGCAATCTCCGGCAGTTACCGTACCCTGTCACTGTTACATATAGCAATCTCCGGCAGTTACCGTACCCTGTCACTGTTACATATAGCAATCTCCGGCAGTTACCGTACCCTGTCACTGTTACATATAGCAATCTCCGGCAGTTACCGTACCCTGTCACTGTTACATATAGCAATCTCCGGCAGTTACCGTACCCTGTCACTGTTACATATAGCAATCTCCGGCAGTTACCGTACCCTGTCACTGTTACATATAGCAATCTCCGGCAGTTACCGTACCTTGTCACTGTTACATATAGCAATCTCCGGCAGTTACCGTACCCTGTCACTGTTACATATAGCAATCTCCGGCAGTTACCGTACCCTGTCACTGTTACATATAGCAATCTCCGGCAGTTACCGTACCCTGTCGCTGTTACATATAGTAATCTCCGGCAGTTATAATTACCGTACCCTGTTACTGTTACATATAGTAATCTCCGGCAGTTACCGTACCCTGTTACTGTTACATATAGTAATCTCCGGCAGTTATTCGTACCCTGTCACTGTTACACTAGTACTACTGGTCACAGGGGTTTGTATGTAGCAAGTCAGAACGTGGTAAAACTGGTTAAAGTCAGTGATCCAGAGGGTTTTTTGGGGGCTTCAAGAACCCCCCCACCCTGATAATTTTCTGTAAAAATCATAAATTTTCATTATTTTCCTCAATTTTCCCCCACATGGAAACCCCACTAGAAATTTGGAAACCCCCCCAGATAGGTCTCTGGATCCGCCACTTGCAGAGGAGATATATAAACCTTAAACGTATGCTAGATTTTGTTAAATTATTTCACAGTATCTGCTTAATTTGTCCATTCATAAAACTGTAATTTGAACTGAAGAGGGTAGATTGTAATCAGTTATTTACTCTGTATATTATATACAATCGGCTTCATCTGTGATTGTAAATACATTTTATACAATCGGCTTCATCTGTTATTGTAAATACATTTTATACAATCGGCTTCATCTGTGATTGTAAATACATTTTCTGTTTCTTTGTTAATGATTGAATGCTGGTGTATATTATTGCTAGTACCAATTCGTCAATTTTCGGGGTATTGAATATGTGTATGTATAGATATACAAAAAATGTATGTTCATGATAAGCATAATTGTTTTGGGTGCCGAATCGGCGGTTTTTTTTAAATTCATTTGCTTTTTTTGTTAAGTTTTAAGTCGCTCTGAAAAACACCAAATACCATATCTTTACAACTTGTGCCTTATTTTCCCCTAAAACATAATCATTAGTTATGTTTCTATTTGATAACCCCATATGGCTTGGGTCCACTGATATTTCTAGTTGATAATAATGAATCTTAACACCTGATGGTTTGGGTCCATCAACTGACCACTTTACTGGTGCGCATTGAGTCAACAATTAATTAAACAAGTATATAACAGTGATTGTAAGCCTTTGTTTTTTGTTTTCACAATTATAACCATTACTATTATCCATATGTTGTAAAGCGCTTTAGAGTAATTTTACAAGTTATATAGGGCGCTATATAAATGTTGTATATTATTATTATTATTAATTATTATATGAACTTATAAAGGGACATATAAGCTGGCCGTTTGCAAAGCGATTTATCACTATTAATAGAAATGCATTCTCTGTCCGGTAATAAAAAGTGAATACATTTCATAACCTAAATGTTCGTCACTTAATTGCTGCCATGGTGATTAAACAAGTGAGATTGTCCAACTATATGTTTTGTATGTCTCACACATTCCCCATCAACCACCAACATGGCAAATGCACAAATTCAAGTGACGTTTCTTCGCAACAAGTTTGGAAGACAGAACATCGCCTACAACGGATACATTTACTGTGTTAAGAACAACAGGGGTGAGCGTGTATATTGGAGATGTACCATCCCCAACTGTCCAGCTACCCTGAGTACCCGAAACAACATCCCTACCGGAAACGGC